TAACCAATAACCAATCCACTAGGTTTTGAGAGACGGGTTCTCTTTAGGTCTATAAGGTAGTTATTGTTCCATAACCTGGTCAAGATAGATCTTTTTGCTGCCTGGTCGATTCGATTTCTTCTCGAGTGGTCCTTAGAGAATCAGGTTCATATCATTAGCCTACCACCTCAGTTCTCTTCCGCACACTGTTCACTAATTTTTTGACCTTGTACAACCTTCCTTAAAGACCCCTAACAAGGAAGCTACTAACAAGAACACGGCTCTAATAGAAATTGAGATATGGAGATACTCCACAATCTCTTCTATTTGGATTTGAGTCTCTAAACTTTTTTTTTCTCTCTCTCTTTGAGTCTATAAACTAGATTGTGTAAAGTTTCTAGAATCTAATGGTTGTCTCAATTTTGTTGGTAGTTTTTTTATAAGGGATATTTGTCTCTATTTAATGAATTTTTTTAAAATGCAAAAAAGGAATTTGAACTCTTAACTTACACTAAAAAAAAGCTTTAAACCTTTGCAGCCAATTAAAGAAGAGCTTTGATCTGTCCTTAATGGAGAACTACGCCAAGAGTAGTTGGTTAAAGATTTTCCCATTCATTCATGAATTTTGGTGCGACAATTATTGTAGACAATGATCCGTGCATCTTAGTTGCCACCACAAGTAACCTCTGCAAGCCTGTAAATAAATCTATAATTATAGTTGGCACGATGACCACGCAAGGCTCTTTGCATGTGCTCATCTTTAATCCATATCCACATATTACAAGCTTGTATTCTAGTACGCATATGAAAGGGGTCGGTATCTGCGCATGGGAGACCAGACGGGCACGAGGTTCACCACAACAGGCCATTAGAGGTTCTCCCCCAAACCCTTGGAAAAAACATTCACAAGAAATGCTTCTTTCAGAATTATGAAAAAAAATTAAGAATCCTGCATATCATGATGCTCATCTGGGAGATTAGGTAAACACACACACAAAAGGATTTCAAACAAATTCACATTGAGTTAATTTTGTTAAATAAGGTAATTAGCGATGGAAACATATCTAGATGTGTTGTAGAAGCTTTGACAGAGGCCACTCAGAATTAGCAAACCAGAACATTAGCTCCAAAAAAAAAAGAAGAATATAGGAACTTCAAATGTCGTTATCATCAAAACTTAGCTTCTTTATTTAGACAGCTTCATTTTTTTTCCACTAACACTTAAAACTTAACTTATTTATTTGATTGTTAAATAAATTAAGCTTCATCAATGTCATGAAGCAAGAAGCACATATTCTTTTGTTCCCTTTTTCTACAAAACAATAATAACAGGAAAAGCAAATAAGAAACTTGTGTCAAAGTAGCAGGTGCTGCTTTTGACATCTATTCTACTTCTTTAGAAGTGAAACCCCAAATTTGAATATGGACTACGAGTAAGGAAATTGAGACCCACTGCTCGGATTTGTTTCCTTTGTATTGCTTGGAAAATGAATCGCTAGTATTCGTTTATTACTTTAATTGGACCTTTTCATAATTTAGAACGAAACCAATAAAAATCCTCTACTCCATGTGAAGACATAGTAATTATCCCTAAAAGATATTTCCCTTCATTCACGAATTTTGGTGCCAACAATTTGAAGTTTTTCACTACTTTAATAGACTATAATAAATTTTTTTAAACTTAAGGGATTAGCTTGAACCTTATGGTTTGTATTTTATTGGCCCAATAAGAAATTTTGTAGGGTAGCAAAGACACAAAGAAAAAAACTAAAAAATAAAACAAAAAAAGGAATGAGAATGTATTGTATAAAAAGTAAGACATAGTATAATTTTTTCTTCTTATATTCAAGACCAGAAAAATGAAAAGGCAACTTATTTTTTATTTCTTTTTTAACTGGGCTAGCTAATACTTCAATGAGGTTATACAACGGTTCCCATATTCATTAAAAGGGGTTTTAGGTGTTAGTTTTTTTAATTCTAAGTTAAGCCCAAGAAATGTTTATATCAACAGGGCAACTATGAGTGTCTACGGTAAAGGGTACGTTAGGCATATTAAATAGTGCCAACCTTTGGAAGTATTCAACTGCATTTTTTTTTTTTTTTGCCTCTCCTCATTAATTTAGACCTTTTATTTATCAGTTTAGCTAATGAGTGCCTATTGGCACCAATTAAGAGGGGCTTCAGGTGCCAATGTTTTAGAAAGCGTAATTAATTTGAAAAAGAATATCTAAATATAGAAAGTGCAATAAATGTGTTTGTGTATATTAACATGGTATTTTAGATATAATTTAAGTGGGTTAAGAAGTCCCCATTAGATACTTGTTTAAAAAAATCTTTATTTATTTAGACTGAGCACACACTTTCCTTTCCTACAAGTTTCTCCCTCGCTGACTATTTTTTATTTTTTCACATTGACTTAGGCAACAAATTCTCTTCATTTTTTTTTATTTCCGTTCCACATTTTGGTTCTTTTACAACTATTGCTTGTTTGACTAATTGTGATTTTTAAGACAATTTAAAATTTCAAAAGACTATTTGTTTCAAAGCGTGCCTATGCCCGAGATTGAGAAGTTGAAAATTGGAGATGGGATCGTTCAAAAAAAAAGATTGGAGATGGGACCGAAAAATTATCTCTGAAATTTGGAACTATCTTTTGGACATTTTGTTCAGAGTTTTTATTAGAGTAGGGAACTTGTTCAGCTAGCATTCTATTTTAGAATAAGTTAGTTTCAAATAAGTTTTTGGAAGTTGATTAGGATAGGAAATAAAGGAAATGTCAAGTTTTTAGAAGTTGATTAGGATAGGAAATAGAGGAAAAGTCAATTTACGGTTGGAGAAAAAAAAAGGAAGATAAGATATAATCAATCACTCGGGGTGGAAAGACGTGGAGGACGTATCCTTTATAATCTCCTTTGTGACTTGACTGAAAGGATAGAGAAATGTGACCAGCAGTTTGATTTTTCTTTTCGTACTTTTGGAATAACAGTAGATAAGCTTCCTTTCATACGTACTTTCAAATGACACTTAGTTGGGGTTTCTTTCTAGCTTACAAGCTTTACAAAACAAGACTTGTAAGATGAATTTCATGGAGATTTTTAGCTGCGTTTTCTTCGTGGAGTGAAGCTAAATTTATAATTAGTTGAGGAGTAATCAATGCACGATTTCATGATCAATTATGAGATCATTTCATTTTTTCTGTGCCTAATTTTATATGTTCATGAGTATTTAATTATTTTCTATATTTCACTGGTTACTATTATTTGGATTTAGTTGAATAATTTGGCCAACTATTCAATTGTCTGAATGATTTAATGCCAATTAAGACATCAAGTTTGTAATACTTGATAGTTTAATATTAGTGGCAGATAATACAATTTCATTACTTTACGAATAGTCTAATTTGTGCTATGGAAATAATTAATTTAGTTTAAATGAACTTGCATGTGTAGTTGTTAACTAAAATTGGGTCTCTCTACTATTTAATGCTGATATATAAAGATGGTTGAGCACAAGCTATCAAGGGTGGGTCGCCACACACAGCATCGAAGCCATAATTGTAGGGGGATGCCTCCCGCACCACAACAGGCCATTAGAGGTTCTCCCCCAAACCCTTGAAAAAAACGTTCACAAGAAATGCTTCTCTCAGAATTATGAAGAAAAATCAAGAATCCTGCATATCATGATGCTCATTTGGGAGATTAGGTAAACACACACACACACACACAAAAGGATTTCAAACAAATTCACATTGAGTTAATTTTGTTAAATGAGGTAATTAGTGATGGAAACATATCTAGATGTGTTATAGAAGGTTTGACAGAGGGAAAAAAAGAAAGAAAGAAGAATATATAGGAACTTCAAATGTGGTTATCATCAAAACTTAACTTCAAACACCAGCACAAGATATAAAATAAAATACACATGTATAGTGTGGCTTAATTTATTTTTACAACATTATCATGTCGTTGACTCAATTATTCACTTTACTCAATTATGACCAACTCGTTCGAGTAACCATTTTGACACCTCTAGATTTGGGTACAGTCAGTATAGATTTTACAAGTCAGGATTCAAATATGCCAGTTTTTTTTCCTTAATATTATAGCTTGGGGCATGATTTGAATGTGTTCGCAGTTTTGGTTTCCCATTCAACCCTGTCACCCACCCTTTACTCACCTAGTTTTGTCGTTTGGCCAAATTTTTTTGTGTTACAATTATTCAAGATGACTTTGTCTATTGATGTTCCATCTTTAACAGCTATCGCCTACGCTTGACTCATCTAGTTTGGTCGTTTGGCCAAATTTTTGTGTTACAATTATTCAAGATGACTTTGTCTATTGATGTTCCGTGTACAAAAGTTCCACTAGTATGTAGGATTCGTTAATGGCTGCTGCTGCAAGAAAATCCGCACAAAGGGCTATCTAAAAGACTCGTAGCCTTTGGCTTCATATTGCAGAATATTTTAACTTCTTTAACTTTCAGATCCTTCCTTCACCATTATTACTATTAAAACATGGCCGCTTCATCTTCTATCCAATTACTAACACCTGCATTAGCAATACTCATACTTTCTTCATTGAAATTATCTACTTCACCAAGAGCATCAGCTGGATCATGCTACAAATCCATCATCAGCTTTGGGGATTCCCTTACTGATACTGGCAACTTAGTCCAGCTCTTCCCACCCGATAATACTACCCACTGTCATCGACCACCGTATGGGGAAACCTTCTTTAACCACCCTACCGGTCGTTGCTCCAATGGCCGTCTCATCATTGATTTCTTTGGTACGTACGCAGAGAGAGAGATAAGCGCATCACACAATTTAAGTTATAAAGATGTATTATTTATACAGATTTTGCTCTCGTTTTCTTTTTCTATCAGATAGATTTTGCTTTCGTGTTTCTGAACAAGTCTTCAATTCTCACATCATCTCAGACCCTAAAACAACCTTAAATTCATGTACGTTTCATCATTTTGATTGCATGTTAATTCATTGATCAAATGTTCTGGCCGTGTAGCTGAGAGTTTTGGGCTTCCGTTAGTACCACCATACCTCTGGAGAGATGACAGTGCGGATTTTCGACAAGGCGTGAATTTCGCTGTATCAGGAGCTACAGCACTTAACAATTCATTTTTCCTGGAAATGGGACTGCATGATCTTGCAACGAATGTGTCACTGGGAACACAGTTAAGGTGGTTCAAAGATATATTGCCGTCTCTATGCAGCAGCAACTCTTCAGGTAAGTAAATTAATGAGTCGTACATACCGTATAGCGGGCAAAATGGAGTGTGAATATATTAGTGGAAATTTTGTAGTGCTTTCTGTGCCATTAGAATATAAACAAACGAACGAACAGGTGTGAGGTAAACTACCGGACCATTGCTTCAATAGTCACCAAGAAAGCCTTTAAGTCCCTCTTAGGGTGTTGGTTGAGGGATCAAATACCCTTGCTAGCATTAAATGCCAAGGACCTCTAGCTTCTCAAATCCAATGGTGCCTTGGTGTAGAGGCAGTTTAGTTCTTTTTGAATTCTTCTTAATGACCCCTGAGATGGTTTAGTCCAATCTGGATTCCTAATGATCCCTTCGGACCTATTTTCTTTTTCCCATAGTATAGGAGTAATGCCCCGTTTCGGGTTGCGATGCTTTTGGTAAAAAAATACTCTTAGGTGCTAAAAGTACTTTTAAAGTGTTGGTAAATATCATCCCATAAAACAAGGAGTAGAACTTTTGGTGTTAAAACATAAGTTCAAATTTGATGATTTTAAAGTAGTTTTTGTGATTTAAAAAATAAAATATTAAATTTAATCATCTTATCCTATATTATGAACCAAATAAAAAGATAAACACTTTTAAAAACTTTCAAATTACACATTATCCAATACAATAAGTATTTATTGAATTATGTTACTAAATAATATATTTAAAAGCACTTAAACAATTGATAAGTACTTTTGTTAAATACTCTATTAGGGAAATACTTTTCAATAAATTACCGCAACCCCAAACGGACCCTAAGTATAGTTGTAAATCAGCAACTGTTAAACGTGAAATGTCCAATCTTTTTCTTTTCTTCAATTTTTCCTTTAGTTGGGAAAGGATGGAATTTAAGAAGTTGGAGGGAAAATGGGGAATAGAACTCATAATCTGTAAGTCCTGAAATCTCAACTTAAGAAAAAAAAAAGAAAAAGCAAGGTAGTAGTAATTTTTTTTTTGTCGAAACGATAGGAGAATTTCATTATCATAAAGAAACTACATGTGCGAGCAACGGCTCGAGAGAACTTTACAAAAAGTGTTCAAAGACACTGAGGAAAAATTCTTTCCTCATCCACAATAATGCCTAAGGCATTAGCATTAAGTTTTCTGCTATCTATCATATTTTCTTCCCTATCCAATCCAAAGGAGCACATGCAAAACAGTCTCTGCAGCTTAGAGATATTTTCCAGCAATGTAGCCATTTTTCTATCCGTGGGTCGTTGCTGTGTTATTTGTTTCCACAGCTCCTTGTTACATAAGTTGAGCCTGACTTTGCTCCATTGATGTTGCACAGCTTTGCACAAAACCAGTTTTAATACCATTGCATTACCTAGGACTTTGTTCCCCAGGCTTCTCTCTTTCTGCACCCAATCTGCAATTCTAGTGCTTGCATTTTCTTTTACTGTGACTCCAATGCCAAGAGTGTTCTGTCCTTTCTTCGTTGTTGTTGTCACATCCATAACTATAGTTCCTTCAGCTTCATTGCCCTGGCTTTGTTGTTCGTGCATGAAGGCTGATTCTTCTGTACTCTTTCTATCCTTCGATTTCTCCACTTCTATTTGCTCCAACCATTCTTTATGTGCTCTTTCTAATGTTCTTATTGGTGTGGATCTATTTGAGCTCTCAAATTCCTTTTTATTTCTATCTTTTCACACCTGCCACAAAATATTTGCAGTCAGACCAATATGTTCCTTCCCTTCTGGTCTTTTCCTTGCTTCTGAAATTCTAAGCCACCATCGTTTGAAGTCTCCCTGCTGGTCCTTAGCTCCATCCCACTGAATAGGAGCTACCTTCCATATGTCCACCGTGTAAGGACGGTTTAGCAATAGGTGTTCTATTGTTTCCTATGCCTCTCCACATGTTGTGCACATAGGATCACCCACTCCTGTTCTTCTACTCACTGCTTCCCTTACTGGCAAAGCTCCTTTAATGCATTTCCAGATGAAGAACTTGATTTTGTGTTTAATGTTGAGCTTCCAGAGTGTGTTCCACATCTGTGCCACTTGTTGACTTCCTTCTGCATAACTTGAGCCAGCTCCCTCAGAGTTGCACCTCCTTGCACTTCTGTTTTTCTTCATCAGAAATTTGTAGCATGAATTGACTGTATACATCCCTCCAGCCTGTGGTTGCCAATAGTAGCTGTCTTCCCTCCCTGATAGGCTTAAAGGGATATTTAGAATTCTCTCAGCATCATTTCTATTGAAAGTTCTGAAAATAATGTTCCTGTTCCATCTGTTATGACATATAAGCTCATCCACCATTTCCAGCTCACTGTTACTAGATCTACAGGTAGTTGGCTTACCTGTGATTGTCTCTAGTATCCATTTATGTTCCCAAATTCTTGTATTTCTACCATTTCCAATTCTCCTGATTAGACCTTCATCAAGTAAACTTCTTGCTCCCATTAATCCTTGTCAAATCCAGGATGCATTCTTGGGGGGATTACATTGTAGGATGGACTCCTTAGGGAAATATTTCGCTTGTTGACAAGAAGGTGTTTTCATCACCTTGCTGACAAAGAAGGTTTGGCTTGGTAAGGAGCCTCCATACCTGCTTCCCTAACAGTGCTTTATTGAAGGCTTCAAGGTCCTTGAAGCCTAGTCCTCCTACATTTCTCTGCAGTGTCATTCTTTCCCAAGCAATCCAGTGCATTTTGTTCCTACCATTGGTTTCTCCCCACCAGAAATTGGCCATCAAAGCACTAATGTCTTTGCAAAATTTTCTTGGTAGCTTAAAACATGACATAACGTACATTGGCATGGTTATTGCAACTACCTTCAACATTACCTCTTTCCCTGCTGAGCTCAGAAATTTGTTTTTCCAATTCTGAAGTCTTCTTTTTATGTTTTCTTTTACGAAGCCAAATATTTGATCCGTAGTTCTTGAAATCACCATTGGAAGTCCCAAGTATTTTCCTTGCTTTGCTTCAGCCATCCCTCCTAGAGTTTGGCATACCTCTTTCCTTTGCTCACAGTTCATGTTTCTACTAAAAAAAACTACAGAATTGGTCCTTGCCTGCTAATTTTCAGTCCTTTGATCCTTTTTCTTTCTTCGGCTTTCCTCAACAAATTGGAGAATCCTTCTGAGCATATTAAGAATAGATAAGGAGACAAGGGATCTCCTTGTCATATTCCCCTTCCTGGTGACACAAAACCTTTGATCTCTCCATTGCAGTTGAAAGAGTAGTTTACTGTTTTCAAGCAACTAGTGATCCAATTGATCCATGTAGAACAGAAACCCATTTTTTCCATTATAGCCTGCAAAAATTGCCACTCTACCCTATCATAAGCTTTTGTCATATCTAACTTAATTGTCATGTATCCATCTTTCTCTTGTCTTTTGTTTTTGAGGTAGTGCATGTACTCATGAGCTACAATCACATTGTCTAAAATCTGTCTATCAGGAATAAAAGCTGATTGAGTTTTGCTTATGTATTTGTCCAGGACATACTTCAAATGATTTGCTAGAATTTTAGAGATGATTTTGTATAGCACACTGCAAAGACTGATAGGACTATAGTTTTTCAAACTGGTTGGGTGCAAGATTTTGGGAATAAGAAAGATGACAGTATGGTTTACAGATTTAAGCATGAATCCTGAGTTAAAAAATGCTTTGATTGCTGGGATAATGTCACTCTTAATGGTGCTCCAGAACCTCTGAAAAAACAGTGGAGACATCCCATCTTGTCCTGGAGTTTTTTTAGGATTCATGGAAAATAATGCATCATGAATTTCGTCCTCCTCCACTGCTTTGGTCAGCTTGTCATTCATCTCCTGAGATATGGAGTGTTGAATACCATCTAGAATTTCTGACATATCACTCCTCCCTCCACTTTTAAACAACTCCTTAAAGAAATCTGAAATTTCTGTCACCACCTCATCCTCATTTTCTGTCCAAGAATCATTTTCTCTCTGTAAATTTCTGATTCTATTGCTCACTCTCCTTCCCTTGACGTAGGTATGGAAATACTTAGTGTTCTTATCACCCTCCCTTAGCCAACAGATTCTAGCTTTTTGATTCCAAAAGTTTTCTTCCTCCTTATATGCAGTCTTCAACTGATCTTATTGTCAGTTAGTTTACCTTTCCTGTTTTCAAAACCTGAGTCCTTAATTCTCTCTAGTTCCTTCTTCAAATCAGTGATTCTACTCCTAGAGTTAGCTTGGAAAGTATCCTTCCACTTCAAGAGTTCAATTCTACAGTTTTTTATCTTCTTTGTGATTTTGAACATTCTTAATCCTTGCTCCTCCTTATTCCAAGCTTTCTCTATCACCTGTTGCACCCCCTCCCTATGAAGCCATATCTTATCAAAATAAAACCTCTTCTTTTTCCTTTCTTTCCCCGAGGCTGTATCTAACAAAAGCATATAGTGATCAGAAACAAAGGTGTCAATGTGCTGACATCTTGCCTTCTCAAATTCTTGGAACCATTCAACACTACATAGACATCTGTCCAGTCTTTGTCTGACCTCTCCTTCATTATCCCAGTGATTGCTCCACGTTCAAGGTTGTCATTCAAAACCAACATCAATTAAGCTATTCTGATCTATGAAGTCTTGGAAGTCCCTAAAGCTCCTCTCCTCCCTTACTACTCCTCCCCACTTTTCTTCATTAGACAGAATATCATTGAAGTTCCCAGCTATCATGTATCTAGATCCCCACAGCCTTTTCCTATTACTCAGCACCCTCCATTGTTCGTTCCTGATCATATGGTCACAACTAGCATATACTCCAATAAACCACCAGACAACCTGAGAGTCAGTGTCTTCTATTTTAGCTTCTATCGTGAAGGCAGTTGTGTATACCTCCAAGATTTGCGTTTCCTTAGTCCAAAACAAAGCCATGCCACATGCTTTATTCATAGTTTCAACTACCACATTATTGTCAAATCTTAACCCTATAGCTAATCTATCTATAACTGGTTTCCTAGTTTTAGTCTCACTTAAGAAAATCAAACTTGGAGAGGAGAGGTTGTTCACCTCCCTCAAATGGGGAACTGTCAAGGGGCTCCCCACTCCTTGACAGTTCCACACCAGAACTCTCATCTTCCTTTGGGGGTCCCTTTAAGGAAGGACCCCACCTCCTCTCCCCTCACCTCAGCAGAATATAACTTTTCCATAGGTTTGGTTTTTTTCCACTGAACTATCTCATGATTAACTTCCTCCATCTCTTCATCCCTGATCAGAACCTTTCTTTTTCCAACGTTCAACTGGCTATCTCCATTACCATTTAAATCCCTCAATGGTCTTCTGGTTCTGGTTGGGGACTTTCATCTTCTAAACGTCCTCTTGGCTTGCTTATCTATAGCCTCCAAAACCTTCTCAGTTCTTTGGGATTCATAGTGGATCACTAGCACCCCTGCAGTTTCCTCATTGACCCCAAGACCTTGATTCTAGTTTTGCAACTCTACCTCTCTATCCTCCTCCATCTCTTCTACTATAGTTAGGGTCTGAATTTCTTCCTCAACCTGGATCACTAGAGGGAGGTCAGGTTTCCCTTTTTCAAGGTTCATGTGGCCCTCCTTACAGCCTTGATTATCTTCCTTGTTTTCTATAACACTTATTGAGGCTCTTGCATCCTTCCCTGTCCTAGCATCCTCCATTCCCTTCCTCAAGTCCTGAGTGTTGTTTCCTCCCTTGCCATTGGACTTAAGAGATTCCAACAGACTCTTATTCAGTTGGGTCCTATTTCTCTCCTGCTCAACCAGTTCTCCTTTCTGGAAGGTCCAATACCTTTTTTAGCTTGACTCTTCAGGTCTAGCTGATTTTTTCTGAGGTGAACTTCTATTATTTCCAGGGACCAAACTGGTTTTCTGCAGTACATCCCCCTAAGACTCTCTTCTCTTTGCAGGACCTCTCACTGTGCCCTACTATCCCACAGCTATAGCAGAAGTCAAGACACCTTTCGTATTTAAATGCTATCCACTTAAGAGCTCCTGCAATTTTAACCACGGTACCTCTAAGAAGAGGTTTAGACAAGTCTACCAGAACTAAAATTTTCAAATGCCTGCCCTCTTTTCCTCCAGACTGAGGGACTAACACCTCTCTAACTTCTTTAAAAACTACCCCAATCTTTTTTCCAACCTCTTTAGAAAGCCAGTGTACTGGCAAATTCCAGAGTTGCACCCAAAGGGGTGCGATCACAAAATCTCTATAGTCTTCTTCTATTCCTTCTGCCCACCTATTCAGAACTAACACTTGGTTATCTATCACCCAAGGTCCACCATAAACAATTCTTTCCTTGTCATCAGAGCTAGGGATGTTGAACTGAAACACATTAGGTCCTAGCTCCATCACTGTTATATTCCTTAGATATCCCCATGCCATAGCCACGAAATTTTAATCCCTGTAAAGTTAGCAACTTTCTCTCCTATAACTCTTCCTATAAGACTACCTTCACATGCTCTAACTCTATTATGAAGGTCTTCCACCTCTAGCGTGGCTCCTGAGAGCTCATTCCTCTCCAGTGAAAATTTTTGTAGAAGCTCCGACAGGTCTCCCTCCATGGATAGGATTAGACACTTCTGGGCGGTATTTCCACTCCACACTCAGGAGACATAAGGTATTACAGGGTAGAGACAGAAATATTAAACAAAAAGACAAAGAAGACCACAAGATGCACTATACGGAACTACTGACTGAGAAGTAAAGTGAAGAAAGAAGATGTAGAAAGGTGCTTTGGTCGCAATTACCTCTAAATAAAGACAAAGGAAAGATAAAACACAGAACCTCGTTATACCTGACGTTAACTTACCGTAGGTTTAGAGCTTGTGACGCTTGATCTACTACCCTTCATGCATTAATTAAGTCGTTGTGATTCTGCTTTCGTTAGCCTTAATTCCAGACAGGATTGAGCAAGGATATGGCTTGGAAGTTCATGTTGATAAAAGTACGGGAGTTTGGTAGTTTGAAAAAGTTTGAGTTTCCTGACTTTCCCACCAAAGAGATGAGGAGCTCTTATCCCAAGAAAGAGCACTTCTACTTAGAGTGAGAAACACCTCTACTTAGTGAGAGGACATCTGTATAAGGTAGTAGTAATAACATGTATGATTCTAAATCAAATATGTACATGATGAACAGATTGCAGCAGCGAATTTCTTCAAAGCTCGTTTGTTCTTATGGGAGAGATTGGGGGCGATGATTACAACCATGCGCTTCTTAATGGAATAAAACTAGATGAGGTCAAATCATATGTTCCCGCTGTTGTGCGCGAAATCGCTTCAGCTATCGAGGTAAAAAACAACCTGAAATTCGTTGACCACTGGTCTAATAGTCTCCTTCTTCTTGACAACTACATTACATGTATTTCAAAAAAAAGAAATTACTCCAGCGATGTTATTTTAAAATTCATCCGTTAATTTTTTTTATTTTTGTTGTAAAAGCTTAGTGAATGAGCAATTTCATGGTAATAATGCAGGAAATGATTAAGCTTGGAGCTGTGACATTGGTGGTTCCTGGGAACTTACCAATTGGATGCTTGGCTGCCTATCTGACTGATTTTCAAAGTTCCAACCAGCATGACTACGACACGGCTACTGGTTGCATAAACTGGTTAAATGATTTAGCCAAATATCATAACAGATTGCTGCAGAAAGAACTTAATCGCATCAGAACACTTCATCCTCATGCCACCATAATCTATGCCGATTACTACAATGCTGCAATGAGATTATATCGTTCCCCAATCACATATGGTATTTCTCCATTTTTTCAACTTGATTTCCATTTTACTTTTGCCTTGGATTCTTTTTCTCCTTCCTATCCAATGCTAGTCTCGAATCATAATATATGAAGATGGGGAATGAAGGCAAAAGAATCCTTGGCCCTACAATTTGGATGAATTACCACAAAGTTCAGTGATAACATATGGTAACTAAATGTAGTCAATGGAGTTTGTCAAAGCTGCAATTTTAGTCAAATATTTTATCCTTGATACAGCCTTTTTTCCTTTTTCTTGTTTTCTTTTCAATCTAATCTGTACCGTAAAATTCTAAACTTTTACAAATAATTATTAAAAATTTTAAAATGGACAGTACATATCTGAGCCACGTTAGGTTGAGCAATTCGGGTCGATCACGGTAAAAACGGTAATAGAATGTTGGTTTAGGGGTGAGCATTCGGTGCATATTCGGTAATTCGGTGCACTGAATTCGGTGAATTCGGTTATTCTACCTGTAAAATTTTAAACCGTTTTCAATTCCGAATTGGGGCATAACCGAATTCATCCGAAACCGATTTCAAATTTGAAAACGGTAATGAATTCGGTTAAACCGAATTCATCTATTTAAAAAAAATAAAAAATAAAAAACCTGTTATCAGCTTAAGTTTGCAACGCTGCTTCCGTACAATTTACAGGCTATGAGGCTAATTGCAAACTAATTCTAATTGCAAACTTACAGGCTTCAAGCCTACAACACCAATTCAAAGGAAATCAACATCCAAATTATTACACACACATTACAAATGCCAAAATCCATCAAATACAAATCTGGAGTACCAAGTACCAACTGCCAATAGACAATACAACGACAAGTTATTCAAAGTAACACTAACAGACATTTTTCAAGTTCACATTTCACAAGTCACAATGAACTGAATGCAGAAACCAGAAATCAGAAATCAAAATCTGAAAACTGACTGCAACATAATTTAGTTCCAGACTTCTATTATCTTTAAAGAGTGATTGAAGTTTCAGCACCTCCATTAGTCAAGCCTGCAACAAAACATAAAAATGAAATATAGTAGTTACTTTAAAACAATAGAGAAATGAAATTTTACAATAATCAGCATATACAATAGATAAGAAATATGTTACCAGATTCTAAAGCTTCAAGATCCTCCAATTCTTCTTCCACATTCAATTTAGAATCCTCAATGATTTATAAATTATTACTAATTTGATCCCCAAATTTATTCATAATTGAACACATTACTTATGTTCTAATCATTTTGTGGTTTAATTGGCATTTATTTGATCACTTATACCTACAATCCTTAGTCTATGATTTAAGAAACACATAAAAAGTGATTAACTTAAACTAGAATAAACCTTAGACTATACAATGATTGGTGATAATTTATGAATTTATAATTTACAATGACTAATAATAAGCAATATTAGTTAGTAGTTACAATGAATTTATAATTTACACTGATTAATAATAAGTACTATTAGTTACAAACTTACAAATTACAATGACTAGTGATAACTTATATTAGTTACAAACTTATAATTTATTTCAAATCAAAATAAAAACTTATTTACTTACACATGTTATTGTGAAAGTCAATACACTAGTACATTCATTTGCAATTCATATGCATTCACTTACACTGCTAAGTGCTAACTACTTAGCTGTCTTATCTATACTTAAAGTCTTAAGAATTAAGATTAGTGAATAGATAATATGAATTTTTAAGTTAAATATGTAGAGTGCACTAATACTTGCAAGTTAGAGATTACGCATTCAAATATTCAATAATTCAAACATGAATGATGTATCAAATTACCAATATCTAAATTTAATTACTAATTATGTTTATTGTTTAATATTTAGTATTATGCAATATGCATATATGACATATGTGTTAATTATTATCTAATTCTAGTCATGTTACTCATGTATAAAATAATAAGTATTATAGTTATCTTATATTGTTATGTATTACTATATATTTGTATTATTATAGTCATATAACAATTAACAAATACTAAAATAATATATTGTACATTATTATATATTATTATTATTATAAGTACATGATATGATGATAAATTGATAATACCATATACTAATTATTATTAATAGCATTTACCTATATAATATAATAAAGTATTAGTAGTATATACTAATACTAAATAGCATTTATCTATATATTATATAATTTTATATGCCAATTTGGTAATTCGAATGCGGTAATGCGGTACCCGATTTCAATTACCGAATTGGAATGCGAAATCGGTTATTACCTAATTCATAATCTCATTACCTATTTCATACCATATTAGAATTCGGTGAATTTGGTACGTACCGAATTTGTACCAAATTACCAAATTCCCGATTTCAAATTACCGAATTGAATTTGAAATCGGTTATGAATTCGGTAAGAACCGAATATGCTCACCCCTATGTTGGTTCTACTAATTCTGATAAGCCATTTCTTTTTCTTTTAATTTTTAATATAATTATCATAAACAAAGCTAATACTTTGCTCTTTTGCTTTTATGGTCCCCAAAACTGGAACATATATTGATATCTCAATCGTTGTTGCAGGATTTAGAGGAGAAGCTCTAAGGGCTTGCTGCGGAGCTGGAGGCCCGTACAATTATATTTCCTCAATTCATTGTGGCGACCTACCAACAACTCCTTGTGACGATCCGTCTTTGTATGTTAACTGGGACGGTTTGCACTTGACCGAAGCTGCCTACCAATTGGTAGCTCAGGGCATGCTTCAAGGACCATATTCTAATCCTCCTATCAATACAATCTGCCCTCTTGCATCCACGAGTTCAGGACTTCTGCTTTAAGATTAGCTTAGATTTTGTGAGATGTCCCTATCACTTGGTAGCAAAATTTTAAACCAAATTAAATTGTTATTTATTTAGTTGATGTGGTTTGTGGTTGGCGTTTCTAGTTTTTGATTGGTTGGATAAGCCTATCTATAAATATGTGGTTTGCAAGAGCACAAAGCCTTCAATTTGGGAGGCAAAATGATACCTAAAGGCTCCATATTTCCTTTTCATTCCCAATCAAAAGGCTTCATATTTTACTCAACAAGTGGTGTGGAATATTTATGTTTCTGCTGCGTATTTTTGAGCCAACATCACTTAATTTTTTAGGGCTTCCTCTTTTTTTTTTCAACTTCTGTACCGTTCATTGTCAGATCATTAGTTCTATGATTTTTTTTGGCAAGTGTTTTATCATTTGCTCAGTTGCAAGTGAAGTAGATTTATGTATATATGTTACTATAGAAGCTCTTGTAATATGATAGGTTGCAATTTTATCATTTATTTTATTATTAATTTCCCCTATTATCTGACCTGATGTGGATTAATTGCTAGATTCTACTCACTTTTGATATTTTGCATTTATTTCAGGGTGTACAACGAAAATATCATAACAAGTACCAATTTGGCAGAAAAAGAATCCAGATGATAGAATTTAACCCAGGGGCATTTTTGGAAAAGAAGATGTTACGCCCATTTTGGTAAATTCTGCGAAGGAAGGACGGCTGAAGGGGTTCTTCTTGCTGGTAGGAGCCGCCGCACAGGGATCTTAGTTAGTAATTAGATAGAATAAGAATTGCAGAGGATGAGCACTACTTTAGTCCTTAGCTTTGACTTTTCCTTGGGTTCTTGGTAGCTTTTCTTCTCGGATGTCACAGGAGCAATTGGGAAGATTCCATCATTATTTGTAACTTTCATTAATCTTTCATTCGCTCGGCCGAATTGGGTTTTCCCAAACGCAGACGATGGCCGCGGCTCTCTCTCTCCAATTTTGTATGGTTTTTTAGCATCAAATATGAACTAGTTTCTTCACTCTAGTCAAGGAACAATGGAGGCTTTGGTTCGCCTAAAAATTGTGAGATCGATTTAATTTTATCTTTTTCTTTTATTTGTTGGTATTCGCATATTCCCTAGTTACAGTGCTTATGATTGTTTAATTAATTGATTGTCTTGGATCCGGATAATTAGTTAATTTGATAATCTATTGTCAATTGGGACGTTAAATCCGTAATTGTTTAATTGTCTTAAAATAGTGATAACTGGCATGATTGGATTTGTATCAGGGGAATACGCGGGCTAATCTAAAATAACCCTGGTAGTGTGTTATTTGGTTAGAATAGGGCTCCTCTAATACGTAAGACAATTGGGAAATTAAATCTTACGGGCGTACCTAAAATTATTTCACAATTAGAGTAATGATTAACGGGCGTACCTTAATCACTGACACAGTAAGGAGGGGTTGACTGTCATCGCTTGTTTGGCTGTTATAACCTATTTATTAGTAAATAATTGGAATTGCCTTTGTTTCGATGATCAATTAGGTGAACCATTGCTGAAGTTATTCCTTGGCTAGATCCTTTGATTTTAGTAAATTGTTATTTAATTTCTAGTTGGCTATTTTATTTTTATTATTTTACTTTTAGTTGAATTGCTTAAATTGTCACCCTTGAGATAAAAACACCCCCCTTGTCACTGTGAATTTGAAAAGAAACAGTTACACCCAGTCCCTGTGGATTCGACCCTGCTTACCACTATTTTCAAAAATAAACTTTAGCTGAACAGGTTTTTATTATTGCACAGGCTGACAACCTGTCATAATAGTACTGTTTTTTCAATCAATTTTTGTTGAATTGCTTTGTCCATCATATATTCATTTTTCAAGGTGCGAATTTTAATACCAAGTGAAATTATTGAGTTTAATCAATTAGCTGGTAAATTTAAAGATGCTATTCTGGTTTGACCAATCATTGACTTGTGCTGGAATTGAAAATGATTTGAGGTCTGGGTATTTTTTTGTAGCCTTGCATAGGTTTAACATGGTAGAGTTGAGTGCTTAGTGCACGAGAATTTTGTCCATGTACAATGATTGAATCCACTTGCCAATTACAACCTCTATTCCATTTTAATAGTTTTAATTTTTTTTTCTCACACAACTTTAAAAAATTAGTTAACTTTATTAAAAAAGTAAATCTAATCTAATATTTTTCTAAAATACCTTTACATTAATATTAGGAGGATCACTAATTACTATATATTTACATTAATTATAAAAATAATAATGCTAGTATATTGCACCATTCAAGACATATATCAAAGCAATTATTGATAAAATAATTGCATGTAGTTATATTTACTAATAACAAAGTATATTAAATAAGAGTATTTTAGAGAAGTTAAAAGTTAGGGAAAGTGGACTATAATTTGAGATAAATGAAAAGGAAAAACAAGATCATTAAGGTAGGATAGAGGAAACAACGTCTTAATAAGCTTTGCATTTTTTTCACCAGCCCCTGAAATGTCTGGAGATTTCTCGTTTTCTTTTGCCTCTTTCCGAGCCTTAACGGGGAGACTACTAATAACTTCCTCGCTTGCAAGACAACTGCGTCTGAATATGATCCTTTACAACCATTAGGACGACTTTAATTAGTTATCGTTGTGCCTCAAAAACATTTGATAATTAAATGCAATTTTCAAGCCCCCCATCCCCCCCCCCCCAAAACAAATAAAAATTAAATGATCAGTAATAATGAGGCAACCTTACACTCAACAAATTTGGAAGCCCATGCCAATTTCCGCTCCAACCGTTTATCAAAGGATCCTTGTACTGTGGTATTCTCGGTTGTGAAAATGTTTGACACCATGATGTCGAGTACGTTCATGTTGAAATTAATATGATGACTGATGGCCGATGACCATAATATGCATAAATCTCAACCTCTACCCAACGTCATGGGCCTACTTTTTTATGAAGATTATACTTGATAGAACATCATTTTTGTGAACATTCTGCGTTGGTTCTCCAAGAAGCAAAGACCCAGATGGATTTCCACTAGAATTTTTACCACAAATTGGGCTATTGTATAGTCTCATGTCAATAAAGGCATTGAGCACTGTTTTGATACTGAGTTTTTACATCCTCCTTTGAGAAGTACCATTATCTCTTTGATTCCAGAAGTCCAAAATCCTTCCACTATGCATGAGCACAGACCAATATCCTTCTGCAACGTCATCAGACAAGCTCTATTCTAAAATTAATTTTGGCAGCGAGAAGTGAGAAAGGAGAAGGTTTTTTTTTTGTCAAAGTCAGCAGACTTTTGGACGCTTTTTTACTAACCTGAACCCGTGAGAACCCACAAAAACCGGCAACTTTTGAAGGCCTCACAGGAGACTCGAGAACGGAGAAGGTGCTGCCTCAATTAATTAGTAGTAGGCAGAATGCATGCCTCAAAGGTAGAGCCATTACAGATAATAGATTATTGATGCACGATATGGTTATCACAAACAAGAAATTGAAAATGATTTAGAGTGATCTACAACTTTCACGACGTGTGTCATATTCCTATATTCCTAACTAGTATTCCAAACAGTATGTGCATACATATTCCTATATTCCTAACTTCTGCCGCCGCTCCCCAACGGGGCTGCCACCGCCCCTCTGGTAATTTTCAAACTTCAAGTTTCCACTGTCGCCAACTTCTTTGGAATTCAAGTTCAAGGCTCAAGTAAATTTTCCCAATCGATAATTTTCGTCATTTTTAAATATGTTTATTTATGAAGTTAATCTTATATACAGTGATAGTATAAGTGAGTTTGAATGGAATTTGAGATATTAGTTGGAATAATTATTATAACATTTTTGGTGATTTGATGTATGTAAAATAAAAAATGTATATTGAAAAATGTACTTGTGGTACAAGCAAATAATTTTTGTGCAAATAAAGGCTATCCGAACACACCATGTATATACTATTGCAGTTTGATGCATAATACATATGCAAAATTTGAATTTTAAATTTAAATTCAGATCATAAGTCATGCATCTAACAGGTTTTAGATATGAGTACAAGTTCAATTCCGAAATATACCCATTTTGACTGCAAGTATACAGGTCAAATTAGTAGTTTAGGGCAAATATCAGGTCGATCCCACAGGGAACAACTTTACAAGTATTAAGGCCTTACTTACTCTATTATTTAGACTAATAATCAATTAAAACAAGAAAAATTGTAATTACTCCTATCTAACTAGTCTTAACTAGATAACTTGCAAGATAATAATGGATAAAATTCACTAAATACTTGAGTCTATGGATATAGATTCCACTTATGGCATCAAAAATACAAATAAATAGATTTACCTCTTGTTACAACTCTTGTTTAATTAGGGATTCAATTCTAATATTACCAAATCTCATTCTCATGATTAAAATGGCCTAAACTAGACTAGTTTTCCCTATTCTCATGGTGAATAACTAGATCTACTCTTCTTTTCTTCATAAAATGCAAGTTTAATCCACTTAAGTGTATCTCTATTCTCATGAGCATACTACTTAAGCTCTATTTATATTGTTCCATCATTATTACCAACTTTCATTGAATAATAACAACTAATAACTTGCTATTGGTGATCAAGCAACAACAAGTGTTAAGCATACATAAATAAACAAGTTAATATAAGATGTAACAAGTATAAATCATATTCACTTCATATCAAGTAGTCATGAGTTTCATCTACTCCCTAAATCTAGGAACTTAACTACTCATATGATAAATGACAAGAAAGAGTATAGTTTCATTGCATAAACGCATATTAAATCACAAGTAAAAAGATAAATAAAGAAAATTTAGCCAAAAAGTGAAGAAGGTCCCAATGATATTCTATTTCTTCAACAAAATGAGTTGTACAATAAAGTCTCCAATAGTTCTCATAAAGTCCTAGCTAGAGAGAACAAAACAATACTAAAACTAAGCTCTAATGCTAAAATCTAATTAGAACTCCTTCTAGTGTTCTACTCTCCCCTTTTCTAATGATTCTTACATCTCTAGTCTTAAGAGAGTTAAAAAGTGATTTTTAGACAAGACATAAAGCTCCCTTTCTCTTCCAAAAAGTCCCTTGAGCGTGTACAACCGAAATTCTTGTCTGGAGTAGAGCTAGAAAGTAGTGTGAAAATAGAGTAAGTCACTGAGCAAGTTACAGAATATAGCTACAATACGCGACCTTGGAATACGCGACTTCAGCTCGCGTATTCATGAGGTCGCTTTTTCACTTCTATGAATTGGGTACCACTTTAATTGCTATTTTCTTGATGATGGAGGTTGAACTAACTTTTGTACAAAACATGAAAGTTGTAGCCCTTTGCATTACTTCAAAAATTATCCAATTTGAAACTTTATAAACTGATAAATGATCAAAATACCCTCAGCACCGTGTATTTTCTCTGATATCAAATGTCCGGCATTGTATATTTTGCCTTCCTGTCACAACAAATTTAACAAATAAATCTGTCCACTTTCGCACAATTTTTCACACTTTATTTACTATATCAACTAGTTATCACCTAATCATCAAAATAAGCATTTTCATCATCATTTTAAGCCTAATTCCATCACAATCCATCCAAAATATATACAAAATATTAGGCAAAATATATACTTGTCACTTATTAACTGGGATGCCAATCACTTAACCGGGCCGCATATCGATGGATATCTGAGTGTTTACTACAAGAAGTGTACAAGTTTCCTCAAATCAGTACTGTGAGACCCCGAAAATTTTCTTATTTTCCGGGCAGTTATTTTGGGACTTTTGAGTATATTTTAGGGTTTTCTATTATATGTAGGTTTTCTGGGGAATTTTATGGTAAAATGTGAATTTTATAGCATATTCTGGGTTTAGGTCAAGTTTGGGCTATTAGAGGTGTACAGTGCATGTGGGACCCGCTAAAATGATCGGTACCGGGAAAGGTAACTTTGGGAAATTTTATTTACGGAAGCCTAGTACTTAGTGTTAGGAGTTAATTAGATGTGAGTCTTTAATTAAGTGTTACAAGACACAAGTTGAGATAAGCTTGAAG